CCTGGGAGAGGGGGTGGTAGCCGTCGGGCGTGGCCAGGAACATGCGGGACAGGGTCTCGGACTGCTTCTGCGCCGTGGCCAGCTCAGAGCTCTCCGTCATTTCGGAAGAGTTAGTCTCATTGCCCGAGTCTGAAGAAGACTCGGGGCTATAAGCCCTCAAGATGGCTACACCTGCATGCCGTGAGAAACAAGAGGCGATTAATGGATGCAAAGAGGCACCGGGGACTCGGGTGAGAATGGCATCATTGTGATCAGAACGGAACAGAACCAAACCAAGCGAGCGTTTCCCTTTTCAGGGAGGACTCTGAGTTTATTGCACAGATGTTCCAGAAATGGGGGGGGGGGGGGCGGGGGGGGGGAAAGTGCCACATGTATTTTGTTTTTTTTTTAAAAAAAGGAAAAGAAACCACATACACAAAAAAGCCATGATGGGATGCCCGCACATGTATGAAATGGGACATGCGTGAGATGGACAACAGCACACACGGGGCTCCGAGGGCAGATGGCTGGATGGGATGAGTGATGAGGAGCTTATCAGTGAATGAACGTAACGATCGTGAAAGAACCTGAATTGTTACTGGTCTGCTGTTCCTCTGACACGGACAGAGCTCCCAGAGCTCCCAGCGGGGAGACGGCGGGCTTAGGCAGTCCCTTGTCACACGTCCCCTCGGCGCTGGTGGGCACCGCGTCGATGAGGGACACGGGGATCTCGTCATTTTGCAGGCCGCCGCCCGGCTCCTTGCCGTCGAGGAAGGAGGCTGCTTGGCTCTGAGAGTCCTCCTCGTCCGAACTATCTCGAAAGCCAGGCGGGGGCGCGGCGATGGCCATGTTCAAGGACCGCAGCAGGAAGTCGTCCTCGTTGTCATCCCCTTCTGGAGGCGGCAAGGACGTGAGGTCAATGATGTCGTCACTTGAACCAGACAGGTTGAGGAGGGCGGGCTGGTTCATCTCGCCCACCATGAGGTCCTCCTCACAGCTCACCTCGTCCTCGTCCTCCGCATCGTCGGTGTTTTCCGCGTAGCAAATGTCATGGAGAAGGGGCTCCTCGATGCCCGGGGTGGCCTCGAAGCTCTTCACGTCGCCGATGTTCGCATACACGGAGTTTTCCCCAAACGGGATGTTCTCCGCGTCGGGGGCGAGGTCCAGGTTCTTCATGTCGTTGGCACTTCTCATGTACAGATTCGCCTGCTTCTCCAGCAGCTCCGGATTCTCGTCCAAGAGTCTGTCGTAGCTGAGAGCTGGGGGACTGCTCCCCTCGTCCATGGCGAGATCTCCAAAAATGAAGGACACTTTGGCTCCTCTCGGAGACTCCTGTGCTTTCTTGAGAGTTTCTGGGCCTGAGAAGGTCAAGAGAGACCGCGGAGCGAGGCTTCTGTAGTCGGCCTCACACGGAGCGTCTCCCGGCTGTGCCAGCTGAGGGTTGAGTTCATCGGGATTATAGGTGTTGGCTATGTACACGTGCCGGTGGTCTTTTGGACACGAGGTGCCATCCGTAATCTCCACCGTCTTCTGTTTGGAATCTATATATGTTATCTGGGCTTCTTGCTCCCCTTCGCCAATAAAGGTGGTCATTTGGGGTATACAGTTCCAATCAGGGCCAAGGATGTTAAGCTTTCCTTTATTTTCAGTTCCTAAGGAGAAAGAATCATGCAAAGACACATTACAGTGCTGTCTGCTTTCTGGGGGCCTCGTCTCTGTTTTGTTGTTGTTTTTTAAAATATCTTTTTATTGATTTCAGTGAGGAAGGGAGAGGGAGAGAGAGAGGTATAAACATCAATGATGGGAGAGAATCATTGATTGGCTGCCTCCTGCACATTCCCGACTGGGGATCAAGTCTGCAACCCAGAAATGTGCCCCGACCGGGAATCGAACCTCCTGGTTCATAGGTCGATGCTCAACCACTGAGCCATGCCGGCTGGGCTGTTTCTTAATTGAATGGCTTGTTACATCACTTTTATAAAAACAGGGTTACCGAGCTTTCCAAATATGGCAGTGGTCGATTTAGGCCTCAGGTGTAAGGATTTCTTGGTTAGGAGAATTGACCTTAACAGAATTGGTATTGCATAAATTATCATTGCTATTTGATAAAATATACCAATACCATCTGAGAGTAGGAAACCATAGCTTCATTCCATCTGGCTCTTAATTCTATTATTAAAAGACCTCACGTCCATCTGTGAAGGTGAATAGAAAACATGCCTTTTCAAATCCTTAAAGGTGGCAGGCCAATAGGCTGTTATTCCAGAACATGGATTGCCCTTTACTTTGTAAAGCGAGATCTAACGTTACCCACTTTGTAGAGGAAGAGGTGGGCCTTTTTCCCCATTGAGTTAAGAGAAAGTCAAGAATCCACATACTTCTACCATGTATCTTAGAAGATATTGTAATGATCATGCAAAATAAAATATATCAATAAAATATAATGTAATAATAAATATTGGAATGATAGTATGAAAACCTCTCTTTAGCTCTTTTATATCCTAGTGGCTCTTTATATATCCATATGAATGTTAGTATCCATGCCTGTACGCACATGCGCATATGGTGCCGAAGGTGGAGCACACAGAGGTAATGTACTTCTCTCTGCTATTTCCAAGCACAGTTAATACTTTGACTAATTTCAATTTTTATTTGTGTCATGAGAACTTTCTGAAGACTTATTTGATGGCCTGCGTGAATTAAAACAGCAAAATCCTAATTTAAAAACTATTGTTTTGTTTGCCCTTCAAGGGTTTTTCTTTTTTAAAAAACTTTTTTTTTATTGATTTCAGAGAGGAAAAGAAAGAGAGAGATAGAAACATCAACGATGAGAGAGAATCATTGATCGGCTGCCTCCTGCAAACCCCACACTGGGGATCAAGTCCGCAACCCAGGCATGTGCCCTGACCAACAATCGAACCATGACCTCCTGGTTCATAGATTGACACTCAACCACTGAGCCACGCCAGCTGGGATTCAAGGGTCTTTCTATAGGGATTTTGCGGTGGAGATTTTGTTCCTATATTTAACAAGATGGGCCAGTGTGTTACTATCAACACACACACACGCACAGGTGTATCAGGGGTATGGATTATCAGGGGGAGCTAAAGTGGTTCAGCAAAGTTGTGATGGCTTTAAGCCAGAGTCCAGCCAACTTTTTCTGTAAGGGGAGGGCCGGATCGTAAATACTTTAGGTTTTTCAGACCAACTGCTCAGCTGAGCAATGACTCAACCCTGTTGTAACATGAAAGCAGCCAGGGATCATTCATAAACAAATGGATGTAGAGGGCTGAATGGTGGCCGCAAAAGGTATGTCCATTCTGTGAATGTGACCTTATTTGGAAAAAGAGTCTTTGTAGATGTAATTATATTAAGGATCGCGAGATGAGATCATCCTCAACTATTGTAAGGGCACTAAATCCAAAGGCAAGTGTCCTCATGAGAGGAAAGCAGAGGGAGATGTGGACCCCAGAGAGACGAGGGGAGGGCCATGTGATGTGACGACAGAGGCAGATATCGGAGCTACACAGCCACAAGGAATGCCGACACCCATGAGAAGTGGGAAGAGGCGAGAGAAGTTTCTCCCCTAGAGCCCTTGGAGGGAGCGTGGCCCTGCCAACAGCTGGGTTTTGAACCTCTAGCTGCCAAAACTGTGAGAGATTAGTTTCTCTTATGTTACACCCGAAAGTTTGACCTACTCTGTTACAGAGCCCTAAGAAACTAATCCAATGTGCATGGCTGAGTTCCAATAAAACTTTATTTACAAGAACAAGATTTGGCACATGGGCCATAGCTTGTCAACTCCTGAATGAAACCAACAAGAAAACTAAACAGGTCAGCAGGCTAAAAGCAAGGCAATTGGAGTATGCCATTTCTCCCCCTTGTCCTCCCCCCGTCTCTCTCTCTCTCTCTCTCTCTCTCTCTCACATGCTCTCTGCCTCTCAATTTCTCTCTCTCTCTCAGAATGGAGAGAGATACTTGCAACACGTGCCCTCACCCTCATTCTCACTGTAGAACTGGGAGAAATTACTGAAAGGTTGAAATTCCACTCTTTCCCCGTGGTGCTAATACTTCCTGGAACTAAGTTTTTGCCTCTTGAAATTTCATTCAACATTACATTGTGAGTCACTAGAAAGTGGGCAGAACCCAGGCCCTTACGACTGTAACCAGTCTTAGAGTGATCTGTCTGCTCTTCTTCGTGCACCTGCAAAAGGTTATATTTTCAAGAGAAACTTTAAGATTTGAAAATACAAAGCCCAAAACTGGTTTTCAAATGTTAAAGGATCGTGTTAAGTTGCTGAACTGCTCTTCGGAATTTCAAAGGTCGGCATTAAATTGCTCTAAATCTCCTAGTCAGTGGAAACACGTGGTCAGAAAAATGTTCCCCACCAAACCCAACAATGCTCACCACCGCCGTTTCGTTCCCTCCCTATTTATTTCTAATCGTCTGTGTCTCTCGGGGTCTTTCCTTGTCTTAGGTCTGTCTTCCATTCCTTTCTGTGTTTCTGTCACTTTCATTCTGAACTTTTTCCATCTCTGTTTTTTATTCCCACTGCCAATTATTAGTAGAGGCACTGAGCATCGTTTTAGGGATGGTACATAAGATTTCTTTTTTCTAGTTCTTACCTTGAAAGCTGGGTTTTAAATCCCAATTCTACAAATGAAAAAACCCAAATTATCACATGATCTCACTCATGTGGAATCCAATGAACAAACTAAACTTATGAAGAAAATAGATCCAGAGACATGGAAGCATGGAACAGG